TAAAGTTATTTTACCACCAAAAATACATTACGTTTGGCTGGTATTACCTTTGCCACAAAAAACGATTATCTACCCCCTCCCCCTCCCGATTTATTTAATGTCATATTGTCACTCCCCAGTGGCTCGGCAGTAAGTCAGCAGGCTTATGACGCTAAACATCGGGTTCCAATACCGGTAGTGGGCAGAGCATAGATAGCCTGCTTCTGGATGACTGATATACCTGTGTGCTAACTGGTGTTTATGGATGGAGTACCAGTTGGTGTTTCTAGATGACATTTCAGCCCGCACTCCTATAGAGTACTTATAAATCATTTACAGATTTTTTTTCCATTGATATATGTAATTTGATATGTTTGTGTTTATGAAAATGCTTACAGTTCTCACTAGGGGGCGCTAACTCAAAAAAGTTAAGTGATTAGTGAAAGTTGTTTGCATGTAAGTGCAAAGCTGCACAATAGATTACGTGGATATCGAAATATGGTTTTACCCGGGCTTGCCACTGGTGTGTGTGTGTGTTAGTAATTTAAAGAAACAAAATGTCCTTTTAAAGTCTTACATTATGCGCTACTATATCAAGCTATAAGTATATATGTAGGCAAGAATGAACTTGTTTCTTATGTAGGAGCCCTCCAGTGGCACAGCGGTATGTTTGCGGACTTACAACGCTAGAAACCGCGTTTCGATACCCGTGGTGGGCATAGCACAGATAGCCCATTGTACAGCTTTGTGCTTAATTACAAACAAACTTGTGTAGGGAAAAAAATCTGTAGAAGTTTGTAATTCATTATTTATATTTAATGGAATTAATATATGTCGCCAGGCGGCGCAAGAAACGGGCATGGTTTAAAGGTCCTTGTACCTGTGATGTATTTTCAAAAAACAATACCAGAGGGAGCTTTTAATTAAACAAATGCGACGAACTATGGCGTTGCCATGTTGACTTTTCGTATATCTACGTCGTTATTTTCAAGAAAGGTTTTTATTTGGTATGAACATCACTTATGGCTTGCTAGATTACTCCGGTATCGTAGACGGTTGTTGTTACTCCAAGTGTAACTAAAGACGTTGTTACTCTATTAATACAAGGGTTAAGTATCAACATAGAGGAAAATTTTCAAGTTCCTTGTACAATAACATCCTTTGTAAGCATATTCATAGTTGGGCATGTATGATCCAACGGTCCTTGGGTTTCTTGTAAACGTATATTCTGTTGAGTATTGGATGATTCCGTATAACTCCGGCGATATAACTTTTTTTCTGACAGTTCTAATGTCTTTAAACTTGCAATCGTGATTACGTAAGTTATAGTAATATATATTCCTCACTCACTTATTCAGCTAGGGCGCTTGAGTCGCAATCTGCTGATCGCAATTTCGAATCCCTTCACCGAACAATCTTACCCTTTCAGTCATGGGGCGCTATAATGTGACGGTCAATCCCACTGTTCGTTGCTAAGAGAGTAACGCAAGAATTAGCAGTGGGTGGTGTTGACTAGCTGCCTTCCCTGTAGTCTATAATTTTTTAATTAGGGACGGCTAGTGCTAATAGCCCTCAAGTAGTAGTTTGTAGTTAAGCACAAAGCTACACAAAGGGCTATCTGTGATCTGCCCACCACGGGTATCGAAACTCGGTTTCTAGCAGACATACCGCTGTGCCACTGGGGGCGCCCTCAAGTATATTTTGCGCGAAAGTTGACAAACAAACTGTTATTGTGAAGTTATAAATATTCATGACACGTACACCAAGCATACGGTGACGTGGAAAGATTTCTAGAGTGTAAGTTTCAGAAATTGTTTTTTTAAATGTTTCTATAATTTGCTCTCTTACAACTACATTGAAGACAAGCAGTTGTCATTTGTGTGTGTGTGTGTGTGAACTCCAAACAAACGACAGAAAAGAAGAGTTAAAGGCATTTGATTAAAGCAAGATTTTTTTGGTTTTGTAAAAAAGTACAATATGAGTTAGTATCTGTCCTGTGGTTAATTTGTGCTTAACCCTGAAATTTTATATAGTATAGATAAAGAAACATGAGAAGTAATTTGGGAAAGATTACATGGGTAGGATGGGGGATAAAGTCCCCGTTCCCAGTCATCTTGTTATACCAGAAACTAAAGTTTCACGAATATGAAACCAGATGTCAGCAGTAGCGTTTTTGTGAACATTCCTTCTCATGCTGCGACAGCGGTTTCGAGTTTCTTTCCTGTCCAGCATCACTCGTTGTACATGTCTTTACAAAAAGTTGAAAGCAGGGTGATTAAATACAGGTGGCAGGAATTAAGAGTCACGTGACTTATGCCAAGTTCGTTCTGCCGTTGTTACAGTAGAAATGTTATAGCATAATGATTGATGAGCCAGGGAAGTTTTCGTGTTTTTATTTTTATTTTCGAACTATTTTTTTTTCATTTCTAATTCTCATTTAGGGCGTGTTTGAAAACAAACAATAAAAAGAACTGGATGTAGTCCGACTTTGTGATACAGCCAACAAGTATCTAAACACGACCATGTGTATTAAATGTTGTGTGTGTGTGTAATATTTGGGGTGGGGGATGGGGGATTTGCTAAAAGGTGACGTTAATTGAAAATTATTTCCATGGTAGTAGAAACCAATATTCATTTCACTGCTTCAAAAGCAACAAGCCCGCTTGACCAAACACCGAATGGAATTTATTGTACTATCTTGTACTTTGCTCTCACTCATAAGTTCTTCGAATTAATCTTCACGTTCTCGGGGGCGGAGTAGAGAATAAAATGGGGTTGTCTTTAAAACAAAGGTATTTTTGTGTTACAAATTGTTGAATTTTTTTTCGCGCGTGTTGTAATATAAAACTCTTTATCTGGGTTGATATCGTTTTGTAGAAAATACATAAAGTTCGAAGTGTGTGAGTACACAAAGAAAGTATTTTTAGAAGAGTATCGAAGGTAGCCGAAAAATTTCGTTTAGATGTATTTGTGATATAGTATTAGAAGAATGTGACGATGTTTAAAGGTATAATGTAGCCAACATTATATAGTGATGCTACACGTAGCATAATAGTCTGATGGGTAAGGATGGAATGTAACCAACATTATATAGTGATGCTACACGTAGCATAATAGTCTGATGGGTAAGGATGGAATGTAACCAACATTATATAATGATGCTACACGTAGCATAATAGTCTGATGGGTAAGGATGGAATGTAACCAACATTATATAATGATGCTACACGTAGCATAATAGGGTGGCGATGTTTAAAGGTGGAATGTAACCAACATTATATAGTGATGCTACACGTAGCATAATAGTCTGATGGGTAAGGATGGAATGTAACCAACATTATATAATGATGCTACACGTAGCATAATAGGGTGGCGATGTTTAAAGGTGTAATGTAACCAACATTATATAATGATGATACACGTAGCTTAATAGGGTGGCGATGTTTAAAGGTATAATGTAACCAACATTATATAGTGATGATACACGTAGCTTAATGGTGTTATGGGTAAGGATGGAATGTAATCATCATTAACCAGATTTAACTGGTTCGATTACCATAATTTTGGGTAGGGTAACTGAAAAGAAGTTTAAAAACATCCTGATATTTTCCACCTTTTTTATTAAACATTTGGCTTTGAATTTAAAGACACAAGTATTTAATCAGTTAAATGAGTCAATTATTACCTTCCACAAAGCAGTGTATGCAGTTAGTATCTGATGAGGTCATTAGGAGTTTAAGAACAAAATAAATTTTATTTAACATTGTCCTTTACAGAGTGCTTGCTTCTTTAACAGGTACCCTCAGCTAGTTTATGTAATGATATTACAGGTAGTATAGTAGTGTGATGTTGTAGCCAACATTAATTTATAAGGCCTGGCATTCAAAACAAAACCAACAAACATTAACTGATAATAATAGGAAGAGGAGAAGAACAGCGTGCTGGTTTGTCGGCTCTTCTGAATGACGAGTTGGTTAATTCAGGTAAAATTAAGTAAATTAATAATGAAATTTTGGTGTTACAATAAATAAATAAATAATAGTGTTAAAAATTCCTTACACTAATCCTGACTTAAATAAAATTCATAAAAACTTACAGTAACTAATCTAACCCAGTTCACACCGTAACAGATATTTATGTAATTTGAAAATATAAATAGCTTTTCCACCACTGTGGCCACCCAGTGGCACAGCGGCATGTCTGCGGACTTACAACGCTAGAAACCGGGTTTCGATACCCGTGGTGGGAAGAGCACAGGTAGCCCATTGTGTAGCGTTGTGCTTAATTCCAAACAAACAAACCACTGTGTCGATATAGTACATATATTTCTTTATTTACGTATGGTAATTCGTACAACAATTATACAGTAAAATAATACCGAAAAAGCTTAAAAATCCAGTTTTTATGAAGTTAGTTTTCTGTTAAATAGTTACTACGATTTTAAGGGAAACAAAAGAAAAACTTATTAATGGATTATTTAAAAAAATAGTGACAACGGGGTCGTTGTCGAAAACTTGACTATAAAATGTTGTTTTGAAAGGGAAGGATGTGCGTCATATATTACAGTAATGTCCGTCTGTTATCAGTTTAGTAATCGTATTCTTTGCTGACCTCTAGTCCTCAACACACAACTAGCCTATTTCGCTCGCTTTTCTTTTTCTTTTCCAGCTCTTGACCTGTAGAGACCTCGTCTGTAACCCGTCACACGTGGCTCGTGTAGTTCTGAGAAAAGTCGACAGAATTCCCGGAAGTATCATGTTATTGGGCTGTCTTACTAGCGCAAAGAACTTTGCCTTTTTTTTATGGTCGAAAGTTTAGAGACGGCGATCTTATCATTTAGTCCCACCCTATCAAAAATGCGTTGTGGATCAACAGATGGAGAGCAGCTAATTAAACAATTTTACACATTTTTTCTTGATCGCTGGTTGTCGATAAGATATTATGATAACGTTGCATAATAAATGCCATTGTATTTTTAGAAGAAAAACCATACAGTGTTTTGAATATACTGACAGCCTCTGTCCAGATTTGTTAATCTATGTCGTCTAGCAACTCGCAGCTGGATTTGCTACAGTTGCCTAGCAACTCACTGGCCAGATTTGTTACCAAATGCCGCCTAGCAACTCAAGGATCAGATTCTTTACAGTTGCCTAGCAACTCGCATGCATAGTCTAAATTTACAGTTCATTTTACTGGTTGTGTATAAATTGTTGAAGTTTGCAGTTCACTTTTTTTTTGCTTAAATATTGTCTTAATCTTTTTAATGGCTTAGTTTCATTTACTTGTCAATCAAGAGTTCGCCCTGTTCTTGGTTTTAGTACTTTTTTTTGTCAGTTGGTCAACAATTTCTTGTCCATTTAATTCAGTATTCCCTGAGAACCAACGGCCACTTACATTCACCAAATCCCCAAAATCTCTTTTTACCAGCAAATCTGAGAAGTTTTATTTGACGTTACTTGTATCGTAGGGCTTGATCAGAAAAGACGACAACGAATAGAGCGTGTCTATGCTGTCTTTAAATCGCAGCTACTAAAAGGCTTCTCATATTTTTCATTGTGGCCACATGTGCATCAAAAGAAAAGTATTTTCTATAAGGCGTGGTTACTTTGATCACCATCCTTGTGCTTGTGTAATCGTCTTTTTTTACATTTCTCTGTTCGTATGTATTTATTCTTTGTCTATTTAATCTGTCGGTTTTATCTTTTTTATTTAACATTCTCATTGTTATGTGTCATAATCTGTCTTAATGTTCACAGACGTACAGTTTTCTCAGATTGTCCAATGACCTTACTAGCCTGAAAAAATCATCGGCATCGTAGTTTTCCTTTTGTAAAAACGTGTATGTGAAAAAAAAGGTATTCTGGGAAACTGTCGGCGTCTCTGTCGCGTGTGGTATTTCTCAAGCTTCTGGCTACACACAGTCAACAGCTGATGAGTTGACTTGTATGGTGTTCCTGGGTGTGTCTTAAAACGTCCATACAGCAGAAAGAAATTACTTTTAAATGCCCTTGCAGTCAGTTATGTAAATTAACTGAATGTTCTTCATTAAAAGTAGTGAAGATATCCAAGTTAGACTGGAGCATCACGTCTAATTTACTACTTTTACTTTTTCATGCAGTCATGATAATAATATATATAAAACACAGAAGATCAAAATTTTTGTTTTTTAAATATATTGAAATCGAAATAGAGATTTTATTTTCAGGAGATATAAGATTTTATTCTCAGGAGATATAAGAATCCATTTTTCGAAAGCACTCCGGCTTATTGGTCGATTTTCAAACCTTTTTTTATGCAATATGAAATTAAAAATTAAGGGCCATTTCAGGAAAAAGAATGCTTCTGTCCACGAGATAAATGCAGTTTTTATGTTACACGGAGTTTACTGTCATGAAAATGAGCAATGTTTTATGTTGTAAAAGTGAACAGAAGGTGCGTCGTCAGAGAAAAGTATCGCCATTGACAACATACAACCGGACACGTGCCCGGCCAATATTTGAGCGAGAAACGACCTAAAGTATTGGAAGCGTAAAAACTACTTTGTTGTAGTAGGGGTGGTGCGAAGTGTGAAGAAAGAGCAAATAATCAATGATTTGACGTATCCACTCGTTAGGATGTAATTAAGCTTATAATTTAGTTTGGAAGATGAAACGTTCCCCATGCGTAGAAGGATAACTTAGTTAATTGTTTATTTAAAAAGAAAACAACTGGTGTTTGATGTAATTGCATTCGATGCAGTGCCAGAACATTTTCTTTCTTTGGCCACAGACTCAAGCAGATTCTATGCACGCATACAAACGTATCAGAGCTTTCTGCAATGTGAGCATGCCCCTGGTGGTGCCTGAGCAACTTTAAAGGCCAGGCTACGCCACTGAGAGAAACTAGATTTTTTTATGGTTTTTATATCTGTGAAGAAGTATAGAACAGGGCAGTCGTGCATTTATTTGTTAATAAAATCACTTCAGCAAATGCAGAATAAAATGACTAGAGTAGTTACCATCTTGGATAGAGTATTGAAGAGTATATTAGTGATTATTACAGAACGACGATAAGTCGCCATTCAAGACTCTGGGAATACAATGAACAAGATAATGTCGTTTTATCCAACAGAGTCAAGATTTTTGTCGTTAATAATGTCTTTCTGGCGTCACTGTTTGTGAATAACATGCAAGTTTAAAAACTTAAAACTTTGAAAACCAACAAGTTTAAATAGGGTAGCCAAATGTTTTCAAGGTTAAATGATAATACAGTACATTCCACTCTACTAAACACAGCTGCAGAAAACTTAATAATATTAATTTTGTTTGTTTGTTTGTTTGTAATTGAGCACAAAGCTACACAATGGGCTATCTGTGCTCTGCCCACCACGGGTATCGAAACCCGGATTCTAGCGTTGTAAGTCCGTAGACATGCCGCTGTGCTACTGGGGGGCAATAATATTAATAGTAGTAACAATGATAAGAATAACAGTAGTATTAACAATAATAACGCCCCCC